GAGACTAACAAAAATATATATAGTATCATGAGCTTTCATGAGCAAAACCCACTTCTTCAGATGAGCTTGAGTGGAATTTTTCTCTGTTCAAGCTTATCTAGAGAAGGGGGTTTTGCCCACAAAAGCTCCTGATAATATATATATATATTTGTTAGTCTCTAGGGTGCCACAGGACTACTTGTTTTTAAAGTTACAGACTAACACAGCTACCCTTCAGAGGGTATGTCTACACTACCACCCTAGTTCGAAGTAGGGTGGTAATGTAGGCAACCGGAGTTGCAAATGAAGCCCGGGATTTGAATTTCCCGGGCTTCATTTGCATCTCGCCGGGCGCCACCATTTTTAAATATCTGCTAGTGCGGACTCCGTGCAGAGGAGGAGGAGGAAGACTGATATCAGGGACAGGAGGAGGAGGACAACACGGCCACTGTGACGCTGTCCCTGGAGCTGGTTGCTGTGAGTCTGGACGTGTCACAGGCATCATCTGACGCTGGGGAAGGATCTTCAGGTGAGTACTCTCAGTTTGTCTCACACACACAGAGAGGGGGAGGCGGGCGCAGAGGCAAGCGTTGCTTGGCCTGGATATTGTGCTGCAGTCCATGAACATGGAACCGCATGCAGCATTATTGTGCATCACACGGACACAGCCGGCAGCCCCTGAGCCCACCCAAGCTCCTCCTCCCAGGCTCAGGGGAGGCCACACACACGTCTGGCCCTGGAGGGGGGAGCCCTCTTACCACCTGCCATGGCTGGAAGCAGGCTAGCCACAAGGGTGCTGGGACCACCCCATACACCAAGGAGTGCTGTACACAGCACATGGGCATGCCTGCATGTGCAAGGCACCATCCGCTCCAGCGGACAGCGCTGCAAGGTACAGATGTGCGTGTGGGCCCCCGGGAGGGCCAGGCCGCTCCAGGCTTCTCTGCCACCCATGGGATCCCACTGTGGCCAGACACTTCCCTTGCCTGCTTGTCCATGGAGGAGGGGGAGAAGCAGGCAGCATGGTTCCCTGGGCACTGTGGGACACCTGTAAGGCAGGGCCTGCTTGGTCCCGGGACATCCCCCATCCTCTGGCCCGAGGACTGCTGCTCACAGAGGAGGGCACGGCCTCAGAGACAATGTCTGCAGGGATGACTGACTGCCTCTCCCTCTTTTTATTCTCCACAGCCAAACCAGCCGGGACTGAGGGGTGAACCACGCCACCCGAGCCAGCCACCCAACCCCAGGGGACCTGAAAATGCTCCAGGGTCCAGGAAGAGCTGATGAGGCAGCATGTGGGCATCTGTGCGACATGCAGCAGACCCTGGCGCAGTAGGTCCCCTCCCACTATGCCTCAGCTAGACTTCGGCACCAACACTCGGAAACAATTGGTGACCTAAAGCCCTGGCTGAACTGGTTCCAGATAGTGAGATAGCGTCCAATCAGTGTGGACGCTATCTTTAGCAGTGTGGATGCTCTCTTTCAGAAGAATTTTCAGAAGATCTCTTCCGGAAAACCTTCTTCTGAAAGAAGCTTGCAGTCTAGACGTAGTCTCACTCCTGTGAGCGCACTCCTATTTGCATCAATAGGTTTTCTACCCATCCAATGTAAATGAGAGCAGAATTTGGCTCGAATCTGGAAACCACAAATCCAGTCTAGGCCACTAGCAGCATTGCTTTCTGTGGGTGGTTTAAGGTGGAATTGAATCTTGCCCAATTTTAAAAGGAACTGACGAACTACACCACCTTTATCAGTAGCTAGCTAGTAGACCCAGAATCAAATGATTCTAGATGTAATACTTATACAGGTCAGATTTGAAATTTACTGATGGGCTTGTGTTAGTATACATTAAGATGCTGCTAGATCTATTTGGAAGACAGATGACTTCATTCTTCAAGAGTTTCTATCCAGAATTTTTCACCAGCATTGAAATAGCCTGAGAGAAAAACAAAGCAATTTTAAATTTAACAGGATGCTGATTGTTTCAAACATAAAACTGACATTTTATCTTTAACTAACTGAATTTATATTTAAAAAAAGAGCCAGCAGGCCAAATCCACATGAGGAATGATGCTGAGCAGTCCAGAGGTTCAAATACAAATTCTTCCTCTATATTCCTAGTGACATACTTTGCCATCTCTCAATTTACATCAATGAAGTTTCCACTGAAAGGCGCCTCTTGAGCCAGATTTTTTCTGATTCCTATTCCATTGTTCAACTAAGTGAAAATGCTATCGTGATAATTAACTACAGTATCTGATTAATAATTTCATTCCTTTCAATGGCTAGGACATTGCAGGGAGATATAAGGAATTTGCTGATTCTGTAAAGCTCAACCTTTTACTGCATAGCTGTAACATCTGTAGTGGAGAAGTGAGGAATCCAGGAGCAGATAGTTTACCTTATGGCAAATTCCAAGGTGCTATTTAAAGTTCAAATGAAATTCCAGCACTCAAAGTAGGAGGTTTTCTTAAAAAAAAAAAAAGTCCCAGATCTGTGAGTGAAAAGTTTAATTATGGACAAGATGACACACATAGTAAAGCCCAGAAAGGCAGCAACACCGCTGTGGAAGCACATTCCAATAAAATCTTAAAAGATTATTTTTATAATAAACTATGCATTCTTGAGCAAGCCACTGCGGGATTAGCTAACACTTTGCCTTGCTATAAGCAGGTTTTTTGCAAACTGTTACTGACACCATTTTCAAAGCATTCATGTTTCCAAAGCTTACACTGGTGACTTGAAAAGGAATCTACTTTTCAGTGTTTTTATTTAATCCTGCTTCCCTCTCTCCCATATAAACTGAAATCCCAATGAGTAGAACAGGCTGTGGCTTAGACAAAGTTAGCATCCAGAAAAGCAATGGAAAAACTAGCAGTGGTGAGACTTTCCAGCTGTAACTACAAGATAATTTTAGACCTACTGAAAAATATTTGCATCTGTGAGGCACCTAGACTGATACTGTTCTGTAAAACAAAAAGTTAATTAAAAAAACCAGCACTTTGGGCAGGGCATTGAAGCTATGCCAATAGCAGAGACATTTAACACAATAAATATTTAAAAAATCACCATCCTGCAAAATTCAGCACTCCCTCTTCTGGAAATACTTGAATAGTTGGGTTTAACATTGCAATTGGTATTGTCAAATTCATCTGTTTTTACAAATCCACTTTGAAATACGATTTTTTTTCTTTTTATAAAATATGAAATATGAAGATTGCCATAAAAATCCCATAGTGCATACTGATGAAATAGTTGTATTTCAGTCAGAGTTGCTGCCAGATTCCTCCTCTACATAAAAATACTTCCATTAGATATGTTTAATATAACATTCCAAAATTCTAGCTTTTAACGCAAAAGTATGAAACATCAGGGGGTTCATTTTGAGCCATATGAAAAAAAAAGATAATACACTAGGTTAAGATATTTTTTATTCTTTGAAGTCAGCTTCAGGTTCCCCCCTTCTCCCCTCAGTTAGCCATAACAGTGTTATCATTAGATTATTAGACACCATGCTTGCCAGTTAAAAACTAAACATCTTGTGGCATTTCTACATTAAACCCTATGGTGCAGTACTTCTGATAAAACATCAGCTATGTAGTGGGGTCTCTTTTGGTACTATAATAAATAGTGTATATGTACTTCACAACTACATTGTGGTGGGAAAGAGGACTGTGTTGTGGGTTGCATCCTGCAAAGACATACATTCTAATCCTGTAAGTGTGGTGAGCTACTTTATGAAAGTGAATCCTAAGTGTCTCCTTATTTATTAGGAAGAAAACCTACCTCAAAGTGCCTCTATTATGTGGATCAGTTACCTACTTTTTCTACAGTATTTTGAACAAGTTATTATTGTTAGTATTTAAAATACAGATTGCAGAGGGACACAAAAGCCCAGATCCTGATTTTGATTAGAGCCCCTTAGAGTTAGGTGCTGAACAAATAAACATGACTAATCTCAGATGTAATCATGTAAAAGATCATCAAGGTCCCAATCCTGCAAACATTTTCACATACAGGCATAACAAGAAGCATGTCATTTGTAGCAAGGGACTGGATGCACTTAAGTGTCTGCCAGGCTGGGATATAAAGGATTTTTTCCCTTCAGGGGAGAATGTGCTTCTGAAGTGAAGGACTGAAAGCACCACTTAGAATCAAGGGCAGTGCAGGCACAGCTGTGTTAATGCACCTCTGTCATCACCCGATATCTAGCACCCTTGTTATTCTAGGCATGGGCCAATTCTCAGCAGTCTGTCACTTACCGTGGTGGTTTTGTATGCAGGGTTAGGTGGAGAGCATAAATTATAGAGCATGTTATTTTAATCTGTTTTAAAACACCCCTCGACACACAACACAGCGATGTTCAGTAATGTAGTAAGAGGCACTGCATGGCCTTGTAAAACACACCTTCCTCAAGTAAAATTTCCTAATCTACATTGTAATTGGGTGCGGGAGGGGAGGGATGACAGGTTCCAATAATGGAAGACAAAAAGAGAATAGATGTTTCGAGTAAAGATCCTTATAAAGATCCCTGAGTAAAGAGCTGGATACAATCTACCAGCAACCCAAAAACTGAAAATGCTTTGACCCAGGATTCTGGTTCAGCCAGTTAGAAAATACCAACATTCATATCCACATCGGGATTTTTACATAAAACAAATCAATGTAAACATATACACACTGGGACCAGCCTTTGGATCCCCTCTCCATTGCCAGATCCTTGAAATGTTTTCTATACACATATTACACATATTGTGAGCTACAGACCTTCAGTCCCCCGCCCCCCATTCCTTGTGAATTCCCTCTGATTTTTGTACGACACATATCTAATTTAAGAAACCTCTGACTTTCCTGTCGTGGGTTTAAAAATCTCCCCTCTCGTGTCATTCTCTCCTCTCTCTCCTGTAGGGCTCATTATTGCATAAGAGCGCAGCAGCTCTGATTCCTTTCAGCCCTGGCGTGCAAAGGGTTAAGTTTGGAAGCACCGACACGTTGAGGGGGAGTAGCCAAGCCCAAACAGCAAAATCATCACAGCACATTCCTGGGTAGTCCTCAGCTGCCAGCATCTGATTAAAACCATATCTCTCGCTGTGAGTGGCTAGCTCAGCTGAAGGCTGGAATACAACTGAATATTTAGCCGGGCCCACGGTGTCAGCTAGTCTGCCGGCTGCCGCCCGAGGATTACGCAGGAGTAGCTCGGAGCTAGTCTGTAAGTAGTTTTTTCCAAGAGGGAGATGGATTTTCCTCCGATTTTTTTTTTAAATGGAGGGGAGCAAAGTAGAGGGGGGGAGCTTATTGTAACGTTTCCTGGGGTCTGTAGGGCAGGGTGACTCCGGCGCAGGCTGCGTTCAGACGCATTTCTTCAGTCAGCAACCCCCAGCCGGTTCTCGATTGTGAAATTTAGTCGTTCCCTGGGGTTGCTTTGATTCCTGCCTCTGAGCCGGACGCTGCAGCCTTCTCTTCAGCGACCCGTCTTCTCAATGTCGGGGGAGTGTTCTGGGAGGGTTCTACCCCCCCCCCCCCCACACACACACACACACTGTGGCCTCACTAGCGTCTTCTGCGAGACTCTGCCCCGCTTCGGAGGGGGCTAAGGTGGCCCGGGGAAGGCGACCTCTGCGAACGTGAGCAGACTAATCGCCTACCAGCTGGTATTCGTTTGTGCTTTTAGGAAAAAGCCGCTGGTGTCGAGTACCACGATAACTCTTCCAGGGCGGCTAATTGACACGAGCTCGTGGGGTGGGTGGTATTGTGGCAACACGCCGAAGTAAAAGGCTCTGCCGAAGGCAGACGCCCCAGGGGGTGCTAAATCCCTTAAAGCGTGAAGCTCCCAATTTTGGAAGTGCTAGGGTGGGAGAGACTGAATGGGTTAAATCTCTGGAGCCAGCTGTGACTATAACGGCTTTCATAGCCCAGGACTAGTGTCCCATAGATATGGGGGAGGGAATAGTAATGCTAGTCAGTAGCATGACACTACTCATAAAATGTTCTAGCTTAAAATTGGGTGGAAACGTCTGTATCCTGCCTCCAGGAGCCTGAAAAGGCCTCTTGACTAAAGAAGCCAAGAACTCAAAGCTAAACAAACAAGCACTTTCTATGGAAAGGCGGGGATGAAGACAAGCAGATTATTTACATTGCTATATAGATAGTAAACCCCTTCTGTTGCTCTAGAAATAGTTTCTCTGAGAATCTAGTCACTCATTGTTAATAGTGTGTGGAGGGAGGAAAGGCCTAAGAAGCATTTTGGCCAGAGCAGTTTGTCTGTTGGCTTTCTAATGTGTTTGCAACTGGGGAAAATAGGTGACACTCAGGAGTGATGGGAGGTGGGGAAGGAAGCCTACAGGCAAAAGTGAGAGGTGGTGTAGTAAAAAAGATCTGCCTAGTGAAAGGGAGCTCCTCTTTTCAACCTGGAGGTTGGTTGCAGGAGAAATAGATGTCTCAGTGGTCAGATCATCATGGTGACACTCAAGTAGGGTCTTATCAGTGTTCAAGGTTGTGTCCTAAATCTATTTGCTCACAGTAGAATTTACTAGGCAGCTTGGGGTAAACTTTCTCCAATGCACAACACATTTTTAGAGTTAAAAAACCCAGCAGTGTACTCAATTAGCTAAACAAGCTAGGAAACAACTTGTCATCCAGTGAAAGGGTGGCCAATCAAGAGAAATACCTTTCTAAGGGCACCATGACCCTTGGGAGGAGGCTACACACTAAACCTTAAAGCTATGAATCTTGATCCCCTTCATTGCTGGTGGCTTCCACAGGTAACTAGGTATGGAAAAGTGGTCTCAGCACAGAAAACACCTGAGACTGATGCACTGAAGAAGCTTGAATCAAGATGAATAAGAATTTGTGCAAACCCCTGAAATGCTAAGTTGCATCTAGTGAGAGATTGTCTCTTATTTAGGCATGTGCTCATCTGCCCACACTTTAGGGGTGGGCAGAGACACAGTAGAAGGAATATTTTCCTTCTACACTTTTTTATTGAAAAGAAAAACCTTAAAGGTACCTGTGCCATCATTCTGATGGGTACTAGTACATGTGTCTACTAATCCTAAGAAATGCACATTCTGGGATGGTAAGCCTACCTTTCAGCTCTTAGGTGTTATTTCTGCTGTTCCTCATTGTTAGGAGGGGAAAATAGCTTATTCATTCACAGAAGCTAAAGGTCTGATTTCAGACTTGGTTCTGGAGGAAACTTTTAATCATTGGCCTAGGAGCAGGGAAGGGGATTGGAAGGAATGTAATCAGATTTCTTAGAACTGATCCTCAAAATAGTTCCAAGGGCAGTAACTGATTTCACAATTAGGGAGAATCCCCTAATAAAGTGATACTACATCTCAAAGCATGTGGGGGTTGAATGTGTAGAGCAGCTCCTACTGCTCTGCAAAACCAAAATGGCTCTTGACCTTTGTATGTACTTCTGAAATGGCAAAATTGCTTAAGTTTGGGTTTTAAGCATGATTGATATTCCTAACTTTGAAATGGAACCAACATAAACAGTAAAATGGAGAGCTCCCAAAGGTGTTTACGCTATAGATAGGTGAGCCACAGAAATAAAAGCCTTAATTGACTGAGGCATTTACTCCAACCTCTTCAAGTCTTTAGGGGTAGATCTACAGAACAGGGCTCAACTCGAACTAAGCTATGTAACTTGAGCTACACAGTTAGCATCTCTCGTCAAAATAGCTTATTTCAAATTTGGGTACAACTACACAGTACCTCAAAATAGAGCACTTTCCTCTGACTTCCCTTCCTCCTCAGAATGGGATTTACAGAAGTTGGAGTAAGAAGCCTGTTATTTCAAAATAATAGGCTTGCTGTGTAGGTGTGCAATATGTTATTTCAGAAGGATATCCATTATTCTGACATAATACTGTTGTGTAGAACCGGGCTACTCAAGACACAGCCTGTGGGCTGCATGTGGCCCATGGGCCATTTGTTTGTGGCCTGCTATGCAGCTTGGGTTTATACAGGGCTCAACACACGGCCTGCAGGTGAGATCCTGTGAACATGCTCCCCAGCAGTGAGCCAATAGAATAGACTTCAATTGATGTGCATTTTAGTAGTTAAACTCCTGCACTGTCATTGCTCTTTAGAAGTGCTGTCATATGGGTGGAAATAGGGAAACATGTCTTATCAGCAGACTGACTTAAATGAGGCCTGTGTGTTGTGTAGTCTTGCCTTAATCTTTGTATTCATGCCCATCAGTGTGGAAAAACTATTTGCTTATATATGCCACCACACTTAACTTGTGACCCTCAGCATGTGCTGGGAGTATCATTGTGGCCCCTGGGGCTTCCAAAGTTGAGTAGCCCTAATTTAGAAGTACTCTTGAACTCTTCTATTTACTTTTAAAGAATGGCCAGAATTGAAGATGGTATTCCAAGTCCACTCAGGTGACTCTTAACATTTCTGTAACAGAGTCTAAGCGAAAAAGTATTATCAGTCTCCTCCTGGCAAAAAAGGGCCCTGTCAGCTAAAACAAAATGCAAATTAAGCACCAGCTGTCTATTTGGCATGCTATGAACACAAGATGTGGTCCTACCCCAGAAAATGTAGCTAGCTGTGACTTCCAAAACATCTTTTTTTAAACAGTCTCCCTAACACTTCACATGAATCCTCCTTGACAGAAGGAAGGCATGTCCAACATAACTGGACAGCATGGAGACAGGAGCAGGAATAGGGCAAGTAATTCTTGTAAAGGTCTTCCCTGTTTAGAACTGAAGCAGGGATAGGATGGGGGAGAGCTAGAGATGCATCAGTAAGGATTTACTTGGGGTAATGGAGGGCTGGCTCTAAATATATGCTTCTAGATTATGATAGCTGGGCACTGCCTGGTGAATGTGTATACCTGTGAGGTCCAAACACTGATCCATTTTATAGATAGTCTATTCTGCATTTAGGAAACTTGCAACACGTGGGACACTCAATGCAACAATGCAGAGAATACATCTGTCACTGTATCCCTGGGCTCTGTGGGACTTACTAAATATACTTGGCTTCAAGGAGGGATGTTGTAGCCTCCCCACTGCTGAAAGAGGGAACTAGAAGCTGTGGATGTCGGGTAAAATGGGTGGTATGGAACTGTGCTGTAGCCTTTAGGTACTATTGTTAGGACCACAGGTTTCTGATCTCCTTGAGGAGCTGCGTGTTTCTAGGATGCTTGAGTGGTCACCTGGGCTGACCCTGCACTCTGAGGCTTAATCTACACTGCAGGGTTTTTGAGAGAAGCCTTTTGCAGAAGATCTCTTCTGCAAAAATGCATCCACACCTCAAGTGCACTGTGGAAAAACAATGTGCTTTTGCAGAAGAGAGCATCCACGCTGCACGGACACTCTGGCGCAAGGAAGCTCTGATGGCTATTCTGTTAATGGCCATCAGAGCACCTGTGATCTTTTTCTGATAGGGTTTTTTGTGCAAAAACTCCTCCAGAGCAGCCACAGCTGCAGCCTTGTGCAAGAGCTGTAGCACAAATGTTGTTCCTTGTTACTCTAGTGGCAAAAGCCCACTGTTCTGGTGATTTTTCTTGCACAAAAACACACTTGAGGTGTGGATGCTCCTTTTTGTTTTTGTTTGGTGCAAAAACTTTGCAGTATAGACATAGCCTGAGATGCATGTGGACCACAGTCAGCAGGGCCAGCAAGTCTGATGACATTGCTCTAAACTGAGTTCATGCAAAGCAAGCAGAAGCATTTATTGTCCACCAGGGTACTTCAAAGATATAGTCTGGCAGTCAAGTGACAGTAAGATCCCTCAAGATAGGGGAGGGATGAAGGTAATATTTAGTCCTTACTAGTGCCTATCAATTAAGATCTAGCTCAGTTTGGCTAACTGTAACCTTCAATATGTGCTGGATATACAGTGCTTCCTGCAGCACCCATTGTCTCACATAAGGCTTCCTGAGAACTTCAGTGGAAGAAACACTGGCTTTGTCCAACCTCTGTAGTAGTTTAAGATTGAAGTTCTACTATGGAGAAGAATGCAGGACCAGAGAGCAGTCAAAATTCTCTTTAGAATGGGTGTAATAAAAAGCAATCGTGTCTTAACAGAACTTGATAGCCTTAGACTGAAGTCTCTTACAGGAGTGGTTACTGAGGCTAGTCAGCTTACTGAAGAGGCTTTCTTGTCATTCTTGTCTTTTGATAGTGTGGAAGTGCTAATGTAAGCAGCTAAAATTCCCTTGGCTAACTTCAGGGAAGGGAGATGCCT